TACTCATTATAAAATCGAGATTCGATCATTTATTCAAAAAATATCTTAAAAAATTTTTTATTAAAAAATTTAATAAAAAATAAATTTTTGCAGTCAAAATATTATAATGATATTATATATATGATCGATATTAATATCAAATTTAAAGCAACATCATAATATAGTCGAAACAAAAATTTAGATTCACGCGTTGGTTCGAGGTGTTCAATTTGTGCATACGTGTATTTTACGTAATACGAGAACATGTTAGCATGTAACAGCGTATCGTGTTATTGGAAAAGGGTTATTTGTAATTAAACGATATAAAACAATGAACAATGAAAGTAAAAGAAATTTCTAAAACGATATGTGTATTGAAAATTAATCGATCGAAGAGATATTCAATGCAAAAATAGAAGAAATATAAAAGAAAAAAAGAATGAAAGAGAAAAGGAAGAAAAAAGAAAAACGAAGAGAAAAAAGGGACAGAAAGAGCAAAAGAATTATACCTGCGCGATCCATATGCGGAACATCTCCGTCGAAGTCCCGATTCGTCTGATTCGCCAACATGATTTTTTGGAACGATTTTAGATAAAGTGATGAAACATCGGAAAATATCTTTAACGTTATAATCATCTTTAGCCGAACATTCCATTATTTTCGCACGAAGTTTCGGCAATTCGCAATATAACCATTCGCTTACATCTTCGATCGGTACTTCTCTTCGCGTTGTTGCAAGATCCAATTTATTTCCAGCAACGACTATCGGTACTTCCTGTCGAATTATATACGATATACGGTATTGTTCATGAAATGAACACATCGCTTGAAATGTTTATTATAGATCTACAGTATACTATTCGGTTTGTCTTTGTTCTCAAATGAGATGAGAGAAAAAAACGCGAAGAACGAAGAGAAGGAGCTCGAGATAACAGCAAATCATAAAATGATCAGTCGATTATTAATAGCGTTATTTTTTAAAAATGTCATCTTATTCTGTTATAAATAATCCTATAATTCTGCTATAAATAATCCTAAATTGATGTAATAATTCTATGTAACTTCTCATTTTCACGAATTTTTTTTGCTTTTCGATTTCAAATAAAAAAATGAGAATAGCGATGTGCTCATTTCAAAATATTTATTTTGTTATAAATTATCATTCTATTATAACAATATTGTATAGAGAAAAAGGAATATGAATACATATTTCATAAACTTATTAAATTTTTTTCTTTTTCATTAATCAAATCGAAATTGTTCGTTTTTTTCGTTTTGTTTAAATAAATTAATATTATTTTTATTCGATACCTGAAAATCCGGTCGTTGTTCCCTCACTTCTTCAAAACATCGTTTTATGCATTCGAAACTAGGCAAAGATGTCGTAGCGTAAACAAGAAGAAACGCATGTGCCGTAGCTATGCTCAATCTTCTCATAGCTGGGAATTGTAAGTCACCTGAAATTACATTACAATGTAATGAGCTATATTTTTTTCTTTTTTTTAACGTAATGAAATATAGTTTGTCCTATTTTATAAAAAAAAGTAAAAAGATATTTACCCGCAGTATCCAAAAGATCAACTTTGAGAGTAAGCGTACCGAGAACGCATTCCCTCGTATAGAGATCTTCGACCGTAGGTCTGTATCTTTCGCTGAATCCTTGACCGAGCAAACGACGTATAATTGCGCTCTTCCCAACACCAGCACCACCTAATATCACCAATCTGATTCTTTCGTGATCAGCCATTTTTCTATTTAAAAAAGAAGCGCAAATTTAAGAAAATTTTTCGTGATATTTGATTATTGATTATCGTTTCTCTCGTTGCTTGTTTTTTCCTTCTCGATAGCTTTCTTTCTTGTTTTCTTTTTTTTTTTTTCTTCTTTTTAATTCCGATCAATTTGCGATTTCAATATAACAAGCTGAAAAAAAAAAATATTTATTATTCGATCAAAGAAACGAAATAGAACGACAAGAGATGAAAAACGATATAAAAATTAATTTTTATTTAAAAAAAAAAAAAATTTATGCACGAATACGTATATATATAAGTATAAGAAACAAATAAGAATCGGTATAAATCGAATCGATATTGATCTTTATTGATATCGGTATTGCAAATGTTCAATTTTTAATTGGAAAGTATTCTACAATCAATGATTCGCATAAATTGGAAATATTTTATTTAATTTTCATTTAGTTTTCATTCGTTTGTTATTGTATTATATACAAATATATTGTATATAATATATATAAATATTAAATATTTATATATTATATTATATTATATTAAATATATAAATATTATATATAATATATATAAATATATATTAT